GGGTTACCACTGGTTACTATGGGTTACTGCGGGTTACCACTGGTTACTATAGGTTTCTACAGGTTCCCACAGGTTACTAAGGTTACTATGGGTTAATACGGGTTACCACTGGTTACTATGGGTTACTGCGGGTTACCACTGGTTACTATAGGTTTCTACAGGTTACCACAGATTACAAAGGTTACTAATGGTTGGTATGGGTTGTTCTGTTCTGTTCTATTCTGTTCTAGCTTGAAATGACCAGCAGCCATCAGCCGCTCTGATGTTTTCAGGTTCTTTGTCCTCAGGTCTGTGATCAGATGAAGCTGCTGCAGAGCTGCTGGAGTGAGCTGCTGGTTCTGGAGATCATCTCCAGGAAGGTTCTTTACAGCACGGATGGTGACCAGCCACTCATCACTGGACAGCAGGTGAGTCTCTCTGAACTTCTTTGCCTTTTCTGGTTTGTTTTTGTTCAGAGTTCAAATGAGGTTAATCTTTACTGGATTATAAATCAGACCCAGAGACTTTTCCTCTGAAGAAGGTTCATTGAGTGTCTGTAGGTGCAGGTAAAGCTGGGCTGTTTGGTCAGATGGTTGTTATGCTCCAGATCTTTGACTGTTCAGTGACTATTGGACTGTTATTGTTTGACAGCATTTGCTTTCCAGGAGCTGTTAAATTTTATTTGAATGACAGTAAAATGCAGGGAGGGGTCCCGGGGTTTAACCAGCCTGATTCCATTCTGGATGGAGATCTTAAAGTAAAGGTTTGGACAACAGGAGACAGAAAGGAAAGAGGAAAAGGTTTGCTTTAGAGCAATAGGTTTAATTTTCCTGTTTTTATTGTGCAGCTCTGATCTAAATGAGGGATGAGGTAAGACCTGTGAGTTTGTTCAGAGAAATCCGGATTTCATCCTGATCAAAGCAGATGGTTCCCTGCTTCAGGTGGAGCTGTCATGTCTAATCCCTGACGGTGGCCCTGTGTTTGCCAGCCTGGCCCAAAGAGGGGCGGAGCTAGTGGAGAAGCTTTGGATGCTGAAGGTGGATCATCAGGAGTTTGTCTGCACCAAGTTCCTAATCCTGTTTAACCCTGGTGAGTAAAGAGTTCAACTTTCATGCTGATAAAAACCTGAAAGCAGTTCATCAGATCCCAGCTTTGCCTTCTCCTTCAGACGTGAAGGATCTTGAAGAACAGCAGTTTGTGGATAGAGTTCAGCAGCAGGTTAAAGGAGCCCTGATGGAGTACATGATGACCACCTCCTCTCCGCCCTGCAGCCGTTTCCCTTCTCTGCTGCTGTGTCTTTCTGAGCTCCGCTCTCTGAGCATCCTGGCTGAAGACTACCTGCACCGCAGACATCTGCGCGGTGAGGTGACCTGCAACAACCTGCTGAATGAGATGCTGCACGCCAAGTGCAGCTGCACATGAACATCCAGCTGTAGAGCTATGGCCGTTCCAGAACAACCTGCAGGATTTCAAATGATCCACATGTTGTTACTGCAATGAGCCCAAATGTTTGGAACAGAATGACTTTAATGCCAATAGAGGTGGTTCCACTGACGATTGAGAATATTATTAATATTATTAATATTATTATTATTATTATTATTAATATAATTATTATTATTATTATTATTATTATTATTATTATTATTATTATATTATTGTGGAATCATATTTTCCTTGTCCTGTTTGTGAGATTAAATGTTTAAGGTGTTTTTCTCTGCCTGAATCGGGTGATTATTTAGAAACCTGAGAAGAAGAAAGTTTCCTCCCTAG